TTTTTCAGCTGGCAATTGTGCACACTTAGTATGTGCACAGTTATTATTCGGGTTTCGGTTTATTTAGTCAGTTCGTCAATGAACTTGGTGCCTTGTTGGAGTTTGATTTCGGGCATTACGAACTTGGCTAAAATTTAAATCGTTCACAGAACGCTGAATCTTTTAAGTCAATAACATTTTTATTTCTACCTGTATTAGAAACAATGCAACAGCAACAACATACATTTATTTTTTGAATAAGTATGAAGAGTTTACAGAGGCAATAAATATTTGGTGCTGTAAAAAACCTACTTTTTTTCAATCAACATTGCAAAGTATTTGATAGTTAAAAGCACATTTTATGACCATTTCTCCATTTTACGGTGTTATTTATTATACGATTTTAGAGTTACTAATATTAACTTCAACTCAAGTTTGTAAGTTCAAATCATTTTAATGTCCCTAATTATTACATTTAGTCATTCAAACTTTACTACAGGAAGTCTTTCACATGTATTTCAGAACTTTTTCAAAACGTAGACATTTGAATTTTTTGTCTTTCTGATGTTAAATATCCAGTAAAATTTTGTATCTAATGGCGAGTGCATTTGTCCCAAGTCACCATTTGATAAAGCTAAAGGGCCAGCATCTAACACTAATAACGTTTTAAAAATTAGTTCATGCAGATGTTGGTAACTGATTTTTAGTGGCTTTCTAGAGTGAAGAGGTATGCCAATCACAAACAGTTTACGTCACAACCGAATTATAAACTGGATGAAAAATAGAATTTCTCAAACCACAAAAACAGTAAAGATTGAGAGAACTTTCAACTGAAAAATATGCATAGGGAAATAAAAATTATTGTATGAAATTCTAGTAATTGTATGAAGATATTTGCTTGCCACGTGCTGGATTCCTCTTTGTTCTCTAAGATCTTCCTTTCCTATTCTATCCAATAACGTTTCCTAAAATGGTTCCCACTGTTTTCAGTTTTATTTATTTGGTCCTCCACATGACCGCTTTCAAGCATCCTGAAATACCAGAGGAGCTCACCCTCTGCTTGAGTTTATCTCTATGCAGATTTTTATCGTTCCTTAAACTTCCTCCGCGATACATAAATGGATACAAGGACTTCTTCTTCAATATCTAATTTACATTTCATTAGATCTTTTGTCACGCATTTGGTATTAATGATGTTCACCCAGTCTTTAATCAGTGAGTTAAATTTTTGTCGGTTTTTACAAGGAGTACGATAATAAGCTTTTCCATTCTACGTATACAGGGTGATTCAAAGTTGGCGTCATTCCTCTGGAGGTGTTGTCTGGCGCTGTTATAGGAGTCACAGAAAAAATAGTAAAATAAATTAATTGTTATTAAAAACTGAGAAATTTGTAAAAAACTATATCAGAAATACGGCAGCAATGTTTTTCGAGGTAATCTGCCTAATTAACATTGCGCAGATACCTGTTGCTTCGTAATTATTTAAAACTCCGGTAAACATAGAATTATACAGAGTGACAATAAGATAGACAAGGATAAACGATAAATTCAACAAGATTTGTTGACTGCGGAACGTACTTTCGAAATGTCAACCTGTTCTCATAACCTCGAATTGGTTGAATGGTTAACTCCAAACAAGCTAGTGCCTGTGTAATCTCCTTATTATCCACTCTTATCAAGCAGCCCTTTGTTGGCGTGAGTTCTTTCAGCTTCTGCTATGTTACTGTAGCATTTCCCCTGAACTAATCGCATATTCGCAAATTCGTGAAAGAAATTTCAAAGTAAGTCACAGTTTGACAAATTATTGTTATTATTGACAAGGGCTATTCACCTGTAACTATCTGTTAATGCCAAAAACATCATTACCGCTTTGACTTTTAATCAAAAAATTGTAGAAGGGAACTTTTTAAAAATMAAAAAWTTTCGAARTTTAAAGCAAATATCGTATTTTTTCTTTTTGAATGCTTTAGTATTCCAATATGTATCACCCCTTAAAAGGAATGACGCCAATTTTGAATCACCYTGTATGCTACTATTACTCATAATTGCGTTAAAAATGCTGCCTGCCTACTTTGACTGTAGGAATTCTCCTGCTTATCTAMATTTCCTCATTGGGYAAAACTTCGTCTTTTAAATTGGRTCTATTTTTATGATGTTGGCTGGATTCGATATCAAGTCTATCAATCCCTGATCAACAGTGGCACGAAAGATTTAGTATAGCTACATGAAATACCAAATATGCTTGCAAAATTCATGAATATTAGCAACTATTAATGAGCCATAAAAATGATTCATAATTTCGTAAACTTCAAACAAAATCTCCACAATGCGCGGATTTAGCCAACCAAATTGAAATCAGAGAGCTACTAAATCTTTTTTTCTGACATTTACACCATTTTTTGAAGTATTCGTAATTCAAAGAGTACAAAGCTCAGCACCACATGGAAAGTGTGATAGTTTAAAATTATCAAAGTCCATTATCATGTTCCTGTTAGCAGTTTGACGAATCAGAAAACTTACCCCCACATCTGCTAACGTGGCATCATTAAATTTTCGTCGCATGTCGGTTTCGTCCGAACGAATTAAGAGATAACATCTCTTCAGATTAATTTCAACTAGAGTTATGGTTTAATATTAATAATGGTGCTTGGGAACAGAGTGCAGAGCTCGACTTTAACGTTTTGCTAATGAATCATTATGTAGGTATGGCGCATGGAAAACCGTACGTGTCACATTCTCAGCTCTTCGCATTAATAAAATTGTTTTGGAAAGAAACAGCTTTTTTAGTCAAGGCACATAGTTCGCTTGATCATACTGAAATATTTTTTCGTTAGACCGATAGAAGATATTAATCATAAATGGTATCTTTTGTGGTTCAAAAGATACCATCTTTTGCTCGACTTTATTAAGTAGAGGATATGCGAGATAAACTTACATTTTAAGGTGCTTTTTCGATTTAAAGCAGCATTAGCCAAACAAACACAAAACGTTCCGAAAATTGTATTCCTTATTTAGTTCACATTATCTTTTAAAGCCAATGACCTGCTGATAAATTGCCTTTTAATTGTATATGAAACTGGAACATATTCGCTTTATACTTGGGCCACTGGTTTACCCCATATGGGCTTGCAATACATGTTGCCGACTATAATTGATCTGTACATTTTTAAACTCATATTTGTCGTTTGTCCATGAATATGAAAACAAATTTTCAGCATAAACAATTTTAATGAACGTTCGGCCGCATGAAACTGACCTAGTAAATAAATTTAATATTGAAGAGTTGAAGTACACTGGCGCGAGCGTTGAAATTCTCTTATTTGTTTAGTTAGTACATTTCTTTCCGGTTTACTCAATCTAGAACGTAATTTGATTTATGACGATGTTAAATATTTACTTTACGTTGTGGAGAGAAAACGTCTGGGCTAATTACGTTGAAAGTATAGTATACATGGTAGGGTTCTGTTTGCAAACCTCTAAGAAATATTTTTTGACAAAACCTAGTTTTCCTGACTTGGGACCAATAGAACTGTTAATATGAATTGATATGGAAAACATAAAAAGTTAAATAACGAACAGAACACAACTTAGTTGGATATGAAGCACATATAATTTTTTGTTTGTTTTAGTATTTCTTCTTTTGACCTCAGTATTACCTAATAAGCACCTAATTAGAATAATTTATTTTAGAAGAATTATTTTGAATTAAGAAAAACGTAAATCTTTAAATCACTTTTACAAACAGAACACAACTTACTTGGATATGACGCACATATATATACTTTTTGAGTTTCATTATTTCTTCCTTCGACTTCAGTAGCAATTATCTTTCGTTATTTAAATTTAATTTMGAATGYTATTTAGACAYAGAWRCAAATGAGTTGTAATTTTAATTTTMATARTTACAAGATTTTATWTTAGAAGAACTATTTTGAATTAAGGTGCACCAAAATAATAATTGGAAATAAATTAGCAAGGCATAAATCCTAAMTACTCGACTAACTTTTGATCATTTGATTGWACATTTGGTTGATATMCCAGCTGGRCATGTTTTAGATCGATTGAAATTGATAMCACATTACCGGGCAATTGGTTTAATTCATAAAAAATACCCCGTAGTTTTTTGCACTTTGTTAGTCCAAGGAGCAGAATAAATTATTAGTTTGTAACTTGTCCAACGCTGAACTTGATTTAGTATAGATTCGCAGACTGTTGGTTTAAATTCACTTAAATAATTATTTTGTTTAAGCAAAAAAACTTGCAAAAATCGAAATACTAATGATACTGCTTCCATTGTTTCGTTGTTCAAAAATGCAACTTTTGCAACATTGTCATCAAAAACCATAAAATTTTTATCGGAATAAATCTCGTTGTCATCGTTAGTATTTTTCAATAAAAAGGGAGTTCTCACTAGGTTTAGTAACAGCAGAATTTAATTTGGCCATTTCGAAAGTTTAATTGGCCACCATCCGGAAAACGTGCCAGACAACCCGATTTTTTCTGCGTATTTTACCAAGCCAAACAATCTTTCCAAGTTCAAGCGAGTTTTCAATTTCTTGAGTAAAGTCGAGCGGCATTTTATTTACTTAGCTGATGGGCAATTTTTGAAACTCATTCGGAAAGAACAGTTCCTTGTCAATAATTAAGATCAGGACTAATTGGAAATATCCGAAGCAAATATTCAAAAGAATGTTTAAGATTGCCATCAGAGGATTATGCAGATTAAACTTTATTGCCTACAAAGTTTATTCCTTACAGTTAGTTAACAGTTGATAAAATTAAAACTACAGTTTATTCAGTTAAAGAGATTTCTTTAAGAAAACTTTAAATATACGGATTTTTTTAGTTAAATACTAGCTGCAAACAGTTGTGGTCAAAACCGTGACTAAATCCTATTTTAAGCCGAAGTTTTTGTGCATAACAGATGAAGATATGATACGTCGCCGGTTAGATGAGAGAACTTGATGGTGAAGGTAGAGAAAATTAAATTGAGGGGCAAACGTATCCACAAATCTACTTACGCGATGGCATCAATCATGTCCAAACCCATCTCAACTGTGCATTGAGCGTGCTCAGGCCTGGGTTCGGGTAAGCCGGACACGCAATAGTAGCAATCCCCTAGGAGTTTTATCCTCAAGCAGTGATGCTCGGCTGCTAACTTATCAAATCTGGAAAAAAATTTACATCATGGCGTTCAAAATGCGCTAAAAACGAAGCTTGTATAGAACAAAACAATTGTAAAATGAAAAACATAAGAAACACTCTGTAAGTAATTTCCTCAAGGAGAAGGAAGCGATGAAGTTGCAAAATGTGCAAGCACTCTTTTCGTCACTCGCGCGGTCGTAATCTCCATTATTAATATCCTGAGTGGAATGACGGAACTGAATTGAACTATTTTATAGCAGCAAGTGTAAATCGTGTTAAGCGTCTCGCAAACAGGTTTCCAAGAAGACAATTGGCGCTTTGATCATTGAATGAAGAAATAATGACTAATTCTGAACTTAATCGGTGTTTAATAATGTTTCGATTGATGGGAATATTAACAAAATCTCAGAGTTGATCGGTTTTTCATAAACGGCAAGAAAACTATGACGCAGATTTGGAATTAATGCAATTAGATGTATGAAAACTTCAGATATTATTGCTAACACTTGACAAACAATTTGCCAATTTCTTAATGCAATATAGACGTCTTTCATCGTAAATTTAAAAAATCCATTAGCTATTCAATATAAATTCTATACTAATACGTGTGTATGAAAGCAAGATTATCAAGGAGAAAGCAAAATCTTATTTTGCAAATTTATTGCAACATTTTTGGTATTTTCGCAATTAAGAAGTAGGAAGGATATGCAGCTATAGATGTCGTGAAGTCGAGAAATTATTCTACTTTTTTGGTTTCCTAATTATTATTAATGTACTGAAAATACGAACGAAACTAAATTCAGAGTGAACATTTTTTGAAAAAAGTTAAACATTATAAAGTTTTTCGTGTCAAGTCAGTCAAAGAATGTGTTGTGTTCTACGTTGTCACTATTAACTTCAACACAACGTTCAAGCAAACGAAACCAAACTTAAACAAAAAAGTAACAAACATTCACCAATCACAAATAAAAGGTAATTTGAATAATTACTATATTTTTTAATTAATACCCAATTTGTTAATTTATTTCAATTTATTACACATCACTTTTTCCAATTTTGTAAGAATTAGTTAGAAAAAAGTGGTTATTTTAATAATAAAAATTATTGAAGTAACCAAGTTAAAAAGTATCAACTCAGGAGCAGACCCTTATAACGGTTATCGAAGCGATGGGAAGAAAATTGGAATGATTGAGATTTAAAGAATAAAAAAGCATCAATTTTTAAAACATGATAAACTGAAAATTATTTCAATTGATAAAATGAGTTGCGCAAAAATAGACAATAATTTTACAGACATTTGTATATATTTGTGTCTGACAATTAGTTAATTCATATTTAGTTGAAAACATGTTGACGATTGGATAATTTATCTGATTTAGAAATGCTTAAAAAAAATGTATTTTCGATTTCAAGCCAAACTTTGTGTCACTGTCACACACATTAATTAAAAAATGAATGAATGAAATCTTGTGATACTTCTCTACACGTCAAGTAAATTGAACAGAAAAATTGAAGAAAAGAAGTGAAAAACTCTTTTGAATAATCAAAATGTTGATTTTCTTAATAAGACCGTGCGCAACATTTAAACATTTTGTCATAACTTTTGGCAAGGTTTTTAAAATATATTTTTGATAGCATTGTCCAATTTTGCACCAACTTTCATTCAAAGAAGCATTGAATGGAGAAATAGTTTAAATAATATCTAAGTATCAAATAAAAGCCTTTATAAAGTGTAAATATTTCAGTAGCAAAACAAAAACATTTGCTTAATATGCGATTAGATATCTATTCTGTTACACTTTTAAAAATTTGTTTCCAGTAATTCGACCAACATTATTATTTCCTTAAAGTTACTGGAACGCCTTAGGTGGAGATTTTTCAAATTTGTATTTAGATCGAGCGCAGTCTCAAACTGCTAATTTAAACTTGCATTGTTTAAATTTTAGAACCCTATTGTCATTATTTGTTACTTATTTTAGGAAACAATTTTAAAGCTTCAACAGAAAATTATTATTTCTTTAATAAAGTTGAGCCAAAAGCTATTGGAACTATCGTTTAAAGTTTGCAAGTTTTCGCATATACAAAAACGGATCCTAATAGATCTACCAGGTCGAACCCAATATATCCCTTGCAGAAGTTTCTACAACTGCGCACCAATTTAGTAACATGTTTAGCTCCTTTGTTTTTACTTTCTTAGCTTCCTGCATCTCGTTAAAAGCTGTGACGCCTATTTACAAACAACAACTTTCGGCATGGTAATTAAAAATTAATTCTGCTCTCGCCTTTACACGGAAAGTATATACTATTTTTCGAGTTGAAAATTTAAAAACTTTTTAATCACAAGCGTAAAATAATACAAAAGTTACTTTGGCACTTTTTTAGCTAACACCTTAGTCTAAACGTATTATTACATATTTTAGAAAATTCAGCCAAAACGCTTTAACGCTTCTCAGAATGTCAATATATTTTATGTCAAACTAACTAAATCTATTATAATTCAAATTTTGTATGCTCCAAATTCAGTGAGATCCATCAGGTTACGCTCATATGCGTTTTCAGTGCGATAATAAATATACCAGACAACAAAAACTATTCCTTCTATTCAAATTTCATGAAAGTTTTAAACCTGGCTTGGGGCAACTGATGGGTGATCACCTATAGAACTTAATATAATATTGATTTGAGACTTTTGTTACGATAATCGCAACTAGTTTATTTCAATAATTTTGCATTTCAATTTTAATCATATTTCTTTCATATTTTTGTTGGTTTAAAGTTTTAAACTTTTTAGAATTTTCTATTTAACCCTTTGAAGTTGAAAGTTTTAGAAGCATTCCAGTAATATTTGGACACCGGAGCATTTTGAAGACTATTTCTCTGAATTGATTACTGCTTCTTTTAGTAATCAATTCAGAGCCTTTATAGTAGTAAGCAGTAAATTGTAGCATTCTTCCCATAATGAGTGAAGTTGTTGTATTAAAAGTATGGAACCTAAGATAGAACTACTATTATGGGAAACAAACGAGTGTGTTAAGAACTTCAATCAAGCAAAAGCTTTCATAAACCACGCAATACATCGCACCACGTAATAATGGGTTCTGGATAAAAGTATTGCGATTATGAGCTTACTTAGAAAATTATTTTGTGGGCTGATGCAACTGTGCGAAAACTTTGTTGTGAAACTAGTTTCAATCTCAATATAATAAAGTATTATATTGTCTCAGTCAGTTTATGCATTGTTTAAGGAATTGCAACAAGTTGTCACTATGCAATATTTATTTCAAATTGTTAAACGTTTAGCGGTAACAATTTCTAAAGCAAAACCAAAAACGATCAAATATGAAGAGCGGATGAAATTCCTGATGCGACATGAATATTCTGTCAGTAAAAAATTCGCTTAAGCAAATATTCCCAAGTTGTCATGGTAAGCGATTTTAATACCTTTCAAGCTACGCATAAAATATCCATTCTAATCCATTTTAAACTGCTTGTAAAAGTGCGACTGAAAATTGTCAGATGCTTCAAGTTGATACAATTCTGCATACAGGGTCTGAGATATGGGCTACTGAGTTCAAAAATAAAGTTACAAAGGTAATAAATTGGAGCAGAAATGTATCTATTAATCTAAGTTATTTTAATAAATGTTGCAATTTTAGTTTTCGATAAAAAAACTAAAATATTTGTATGCATAGTGCCCCAAATAAAAAAGTAAAGATGTTCGTATATAAACATGGACAAGTCCAATTTTTTTAAATTGAAAAGTTCTATTTTTTTTTAATCACATGAATTGCTACTTTAAATTGTTCGCACCTTAACTGAACTGGTTTAAATTTTTTGAAAAGAAAAGCAGCTTTTTTAAAAGAAAAACACTGCTCAATTTCCTATATACTTGAGGTTTGATTATATTATTATGTATGATCAACCTTGTCAGACTATTTTAACAATCTTTTTTATTAAACTGTTTCATCTTGACGGCACTACCGGAACTGATGTTCAAAAATGCAAAACTGAAACTAAAGATTAATTAAATTGGAATGCTATCAGTTTTTTCGTTCACAGCGTTAAATCTGGTAAATCTTCTAACAATGGCACAACAACATATAGAAAAAATGTCGGCCAAATTGCACAGCGTCTTAAATTATTGTTATGTATTAAAAAGGAAATACTACCATTTCGCATATGCCGAGGTTAATAATACAGTATTTAAAATAAATTAATTCATTAATTCTAGAGGAATTAATAAACAAATACTCAAAATGCCAAAAGTGTGGTAACTTATTGCTGGCCCTTACAACTTTTCATCACTTTTTATTAAAAACTGAACATTTTAAAAAACAATCAAACTTTTTAATATATTAGCCATATTTTGATTTTTAAATTAATTTTGGTTTATTCCTTTCTGATTAGGACTCGAATAGTTTTTATTTCTACTGTTGCCTGAACCTGCTGTTTTGGAACGTGTCTAGAATTTTTTATTTGTTTTAAATTGTTATAATACATTTTAAATTCCGATAAAATGCTCCAATTACCTAACTTGAGTTGACGGCACGATAAATCTTATAAATAAAACATGATACTCTCCTCACCCTGTTAAACGGATCTCCGATGATAAATCTTATCTAATTGACACAAAAAAAATTTGCGGTCATATGTTGACACAGGGTGCCGAAACACGTATAGAAAAAGTAGACACGTGTTGCTTTGTTTCGCGGATAATCGACTCACAAGAGGTTTCACAATATCAAATGTGAAGATGGTTTTAACCGAGAAAATCGGCTGAAAAGGACGATTCAGCACCATCCAAACAAAACCCGTAATTTGAAAAATAAATTGCTAATATTTCTGGTATTCGATTCAGGAAATTTTTTTTGACATTTCTTAAATTATTGTTTATGTCTGATTAAATGGATATTTCATATACCGTTCAAAAAGTTCAAGAATTTTCAATAAATTCCCTGTTAGCTTATTCACCGCAAGAGAAGTGAACGTTCAAACTTTAAAACATATAATTTACCGAAGATAC